CGGCGTAAATCGCGACGAATTAAATTGATTTTAGCGAGAAGATTTCCAGATTATTTATGCGAAGATGCGGGTGTTCCGTTGATCGGGATTAACGGTTGCTAGAAATGAGATTTAGGGGGTCGCCGCGATTATTTTGGTCGAATCGGCGATCGATTCGAGCCGCGATGCGAAAACACGTGCGCCGCGTTTCGTTCCAACGATTGTCACGCACGTCGCACGCCGGCTCCCTGGCCGCAATAAGGTCGATATAATTGATGATTAATACTGCCAAGTTCTAAATCCGCCGTTCCCATTAGTTTTAACGAGCGGCCGTTTCCGAGTATCGAAATCCGTCATCTGTCCCGTGCAATTTGCGCGCTTATCAAACGCCTTTTCGTTCGCTTTCCACGTTCAATGACCGCCGCGCTGGCCCAAAATCTCGTATTATAGAATCAACTTTAACCCTTAACTGATATACTGAAGTATTGAGCGATCCTTTCGCGACAACAAAGTTTTCTTTTCCACATTTCTTTTTATTTTATAAACTAACTAAGAATAAGATATCGATGGAGCGTTTATCTAGAATTAGATTAATACAATTTTGCGCACGTTTTATTTGGGCTTTGTCATGATCCCAGTATATCAGTCATTTTTTTCTTCAGTTTCTGTACCGTTTAAGGGTTGACACGGTGTTCTTTCCAGATTAACTTATTAGCTGCGAATAACGAGTATACTCGTCGTGAGGGAATAGGAATTTTACGTGTTACGACAAAAACATGCTCGTCCTGCGATTAAAGAAAAACTTACTAGAAAAACGTGAACGTAGCATGATTGATAAAATGCATGCGAGGATCGTCTAAAAAATTCGACAGAGCACATGTGAAATCTACGTCGATACTATCTTATGCGTAATCCTATTGGGTTGACAACTAAGTAATTGCCGATTTGTTCAATGAAATAAAAAATTTTTTTACTTGGAATGAAGTTTCATCTGTAATGTATTTTCCATTTTGTTCGATGACCTTATGCCATTTCTCTGACAACTTGAAAATTCCACGCTCGTAGAAAGCCTGATCCTTTTCGGCCAAAAACTGAGTTAAGTGAGATTTTACAGCGTCATCATCATTAAAAGTTTTATCACAAAGGGAGTTGTCCAGGGATCGAAATACGTGGTAATCCGATGGCACGAGATCAGGGCTATGTGGTGGATGTAACATCAATTCCCAACCAATATCCATCAATTTTTGCCGAGTGGACAAAGACGTGTGCGGCCTAGCATTGTCCTGGTGGAAAATGACACCTTTACGATTGACCAATTCTGGTCGCTTTTCCTTGACCGCTGCATTCAATTTGTCCAGTTGCTAACATTCACGGATAATAAAAAATGACATAATAATAATAATAATAATAATAATAATTTTATAATATAACGTTTACGATATCATAAAAATGGGAGTGATCGGCAAAGGTAATCGGCAATTACTTAGTTGCCAACCCAATATTTAGAACATTTATCCCATTATGAATTGTGGGTGGAAACGGAGAAACTCGCATCGAAATTTCAGAAGATCGCAATACCATGTGGACGATCGATCTCTTTAATGCCGGATGCTTGCGCAATCGACAACGGTTTGCTGCCGTTGCTGTTTGTGCTGTTAGTTGGTCGGAGTAGCTTCGGAGACTCGAGGTGAACCGGATCCGAGCCAACTGGGATTATCGAAAACTGCTGTACGATTAAATAGGGAACCGGCCGCGAATAAATAACGCAAATAACACCGGCGCACTGAAATACAATGTTGTAAGCTGCGCCCAGATTCTGGCACAGTGATTATTCCCGCTGGAATGCGACGCCGGCGAATTTCGTGGGCAGCGTGGCTCCTCGAAAGTATTCGCAGGTTAAAGAACTACTGCCGACAATCCCTTCTTACTCTTACTGGCTCGGCTACAAATCAATTTTTTTCGCGTACAAGTTAATAATACAATGAACGCACCGAATCTTTTATTAGATTTACATGAGACATTTTAATTAGGAACTTTCATGGACGAAATAAAAACACATCTTGTAGAAAGTACAGGTACAAATTGTGAATGTTTCTTTCCTTTTTTCGTGACTGCAAGATTTTATTTTTTGTCGAACAATCATTGTATTTTGTCTGATAGCATCAATTTTTAGTTTCATAAATAATCGTTGCTGTAACTTACTGTCTCATGTAGTGAAAGTTATATTGTTCGGTCTACACTAATAAACACAATGTGTACAGTAAATACACATATTTAATTATTTTGTTGTTTAGTCAAGTTATACAAGCAATATTTTTTATGGGCAATGTATATCCACCATATTTGCTTGCAAACAATAATTAAATATAAAGAAAGATGATACGCTTTAGCAAAATGTGACCAATATTAATGTCAAATATGTATTATAAGTGCATGCAGTATCTACATAGAATATGTAAAGTACAAGCAAGAAATTCACAACAAAATTCCTTGATCCATTTGTATTTTTATTTTTCTCACATCTACATTGACTCTTTTGTCCTTCGATAAATTCCCTAGTAGAAAGAGACAATTTTGATTTCTTGTACGTCTCTGCATTTACATACTTCCATTTCTGTATTCTGATAACAGAAGAATCTGTTTTGATTTTGAAAGAAGTGGCTAACATTCACACTTACAATTAGTAAATTAAATATGAGATCTCTATCAGGAGACTTGTTATTACAGGTGAAAGGAGTTAAAGGTTTTTTCTGCCGACACAAACGTGGTTCTGGAATATTTTGTAATGTCGCCACCTATAAGGGTCGCACCGTAATACCTCGATAGCGTTCCTGGCGGAGCCATAACAGCGTCTACTTAATTCACAGTCCGCTAAACTGTCCCATCGCAGCGTAAAATCCCGGCGATAGCTAACGGTTCGAGTTCGCGGTCGGGCTAGTCGAACACGCGAATGCCGCTAGAGTTGTTAATTAATATCGCGATAAATTAAAATGTATTATGCAAGTTAGGCAGTCTTGTCCGTAGCTTCTTCGGGACTTGCAGAGACTCCGCGTGGCTGCGGCTGCCGCGCAACCACCCCCGAGTTTTGCGCGCGCGTTCCGGCGCGGAGGTTGGTTGCTCTCATAGGAAGGAGGACGAGGATGAGGATGAGGATGAGGATGAGGACGAGGACGGAGGTGGGAAGAGGGTGTTCGGAGGTAACGGGGTGCCGAACGGGGCTGGGTGGTAACGCGAGGCAAACAACAAGAGGTTTTCGTAGTCGGCTAACGGCGGAGTTTCCTCGTAAACTCTTAGAGAAGTTCCCAGACAAATACAGAAATATTTTGTAATGGAAACACGTCCCTCAGAAATTAAATATCGCGATGAAGGGGATGAAGTTGCCGGCGGGAGGCTCGCCGCGGGAACGAAGACTGCGTGAGAAGTCGGAAGTGGATTACGAAGAGCGAACGGGCATTAATTACCGGTGCTTTCGGGAATCTGGGGATTATTGCTTGCGCGCCGCGGGGATTGAAAACTGATGCAGTTTTTATTGAAAGAACCGGCCGTGATTTTAATTAGCGGCTGACTTACGTGTGCACCCTCGAGGATCTTGCTATCGACGATAGTAGATTCGACATAAACAGAAACGGCTGAGCCTTGCATTTGCAACGCTCGGTTCAATCGTGAATATACTATGATTTGATCTGTTATAAAATATTGTGTATATCCTGGGGAAGGACTATCGATCTTCAACCCTTAATCGGAATATACGTTAATGGCGTTACTTAAAAGTCATGTAATCCTCTATTAACACATCAAATTTGAAATGTTTCAACGAACATTTACTTGCACTTACTAATTTGCAAATGTGCAATATACACTGAAACAATAACTGAGAGTTCCGTTAAGGGTTAATTATATTCTGATGGGATTGCTTCTTAGAAGCTTCCTAAAGACTGATACGAAGTCTTAGAATACCATAATATATACTAATTACAATATTTGCTGCCACACAAGTGTCCATAAAAATCATGTAAAATTAGAACAACTTATTTATCAATGTATAGGATGAGCCACTAAAAACAGAACACACGAATTTCTATGTTGGTGTGAATGGTATTCTACGCTAAATTTAAGTGTTATTACGACGCCAATTTTTGTTTAATTTTTAATGTTGAATGTCTGTTTATCACTGCATCGTTTGTGATTAAATGTTGCAGCTGTTGCATGCCATGCAAGCAGATTGCTCTAAGAAAAGACAAAGCGAGTTTCTTTTTTTGCTAGGAAGTACTACTGGCTTTGATTTATTGCTTCTTTTATTTATTATGAGATAAGACGGTGGGGGCTTGCACGACTGTCCCATTGTCACGTTGAGTGTTAGCATGATATCGTTGCGTTGCGAGCAGGAATCTGGGAATCGCAAAGACTGGCTCGCGTCCAATAAACATCTTTGCTATAATTTAACGACATTTCTACCCTCGACACCTACTCCTGCGCTCTGAGGTATAGGGATATCGATCCGTCGTGGATTTACACCAACATTTCACTATCGTAAATAGCAAACCACAAAATAAACGAAATTTTACAATAGTAAAAACCGGAAAGTTTACTAAAAGAATTCGATCAAACGGTGGCAATGCAAACAAATGAAAACTTGAAAGACAATTGAAAAATGTCAGGCAAGCATAGCAGGGACCATGTACGCAGCTAAAAACGTAAAAGTTAACTAAACAATTCAGGCGAGCGGAGGAAAAGGATACAAGAAACTAAAAATATGTAAACTATGAACAGTTTGCAACGAAAGAGAATTCTATCATTCTTGATGATAGAATAGAATTTATTAATTGGAAATATTATTTATATTATTAATTGGAATATATTTTTGATATATTAAATATTAGTTGGAACATATTAATAATATTGTTTAGTGTTTATTGTAGAAGCACTTGATAATTTAGCGTAGTTGATTGCAAAAGAAGAAAGAAGTTGCTCGTCTCGGCCCTATACGTTCTCCCAACGAAATTATTGTTTTTCTTGTGCAGCAGGGCTCTCGCGATGGCAGAAATAAGGAAAAGAAATTATCATGCTCGAGTCTCGCCGGAAGTGGCTTGTATAAATACAGCTGTCGCGCGCTACGCAAAGGGAGGTAAGTGCAAAACAACTTAGCCTATGTGTTTTGACTCTCTGTCACTTTTAGAGCCGGTGAACGGGGTAAGCGATACTGTGCCATCGCAGACGTTCTTTTATAGAGGGAAAGAAGCACAGAAGACGGCACGAGCACCATGTAAAGCTACGAGATTCCTGCAGTGGATACTTCTGTCGGACCTACCGAAGCCTCGAGTTCCCTTCTTTCTTGATTCTTTCTTCGTTTTCAATTCTTTTTTCATTTTGAATTCCTTCTCGTTTTTCTGCCTTCTTCAAAATAATTGTATTTGTTGCTATAACAAATTCCATCTCCATTCGAATAAAATCTTCAAAAAATCGTTTGGTGTATTTGAATCACTTGTCCCGAACACAGACACTAAACACCTTGACGTCCAAGTAGATAAAATAGACCTTTTTCAAAATTGAGGAAAGGTTAGGATAAAATGAATGCAAAAATGCTGTTAGACAAATCTGCCAATTTTTCGAGACTCGCGCTGACTGTCATCATACCATTACACCGTTCATCAATCACTCGAGATTATAAATAACACGGAGATGCTCGGAATGTTTGGAGGTACTCATATTTTTCTTTGAGAAGCAAACTATATATCGTACAATACATGGTTCTATGAATTATAACTAGACCGCGAACTTTATGCCTCGATAAAACAGCAAAGCGTAAATATTATACGTTAGAAAAAAGTACATTGCCACTTCTTCCTTAATTTATTAAATTTATTAAAAGGAAAATTACATGTTCATGTAATTTTTGTTTACTGCAATTGAATTCGAAAACTTTCGTTATGCATAAAGGTTCGCAGTTTATACTAATAGTTTATGGATGGAAACATTCCTAGAAGTGAAGTAACGGGTTTTAGGCATTTTTTAGAATTGATATCAGCATTTCACAAAGCGAGACAGACGTCGCATCGTTCTTACACGCAAATTAATTACCTACCGGCTTCGCAGCGGGTACATCGCCCCGGCAAAATGACGAAAAATGTCCTGCGCCAGTAATTCCGAGCGACAGCCTCAAAGGAAACGGTACAGAGCGGCGGAGGCGACGCGGAAAGAGTAAAAGAGACAATTGTGCAGCTAAGTATACTGTAATTAAACGGTAGGCGAAGGTGCGTTCGTTGATGAGGGAGCAGAGAATTCGAGCCTATTCGAGAGTCCGGCTGCTACCAACTGCTTGCGTGCACACTTGCACGCATCGTACAAGGGAAACGGGCTCCGTGTGTACACATACACGCGTGTTCACGCGTGTCACCTTCGCATACTCGCGCGAACCGGGGTACAGTATTAAAGCTACATACACGGTATACATACGTCGTTGTCCCGGAGGTAAAAGAGGGCTCGCCGTGGCCGAGGGAGAGACACTCTTAAAATGTTATGACGTGGAACTCGTGATTTCATGGAACATTTAATCACGATATTGGTAAATAGACGAGGCAGGGGTTCTCGGGCATCGGACGACAATCAGTTCCCTTGTAACTGCTCGATTCCGCCACTGTAATTGCTCAAACGGTCACTCGAACACCCTCCGACTAAATTCTCCGAGAAATTAATTCGAAACTTCAAATTTTATGGCGACGAATGTATGCAATTGATTAACATTAAACCTGTCGAACCTGTCAAAATGACAAATTACATAGTTTTTGTTTTAAAGTTACTCAACCCAGAAAGATTTTCCATTTCATTGAAAATGATTGAACTTTCTCAATGCAAGCACATCATTATAATAATATTAATATATTCAATGTTATAAAGCAACACATGTTAGTTACTTATAGGGATCGGCACGTTTAGTGAAAAAAGAGAATCAATTCTATTAGTTTAGATGTAGCAAATGTAAATAGCTAATTCTTCTTCTTGCTTTCAATTTTAATTACTTATTGCAGTAATACAAGTAAAATTACTTTCGAGTTTAGTCGCAGCAATAGCAATTCTTTTCCAGTTTCTTTTTGAAGCATCGTGAAGGTTATGTCAATGCATAATGCTACAAATGAGTTATTGAATTTTCGATTTCGTAAATTTTATATACAGAAACAAAAATGTCCTTTCATAGCCTGAAAAGCAAGTGAAATAAACATTTTACTACTATATTACTATACTATTTCGATTCAAACACCATAGCCATAGTTATACTAAAGAAGACCATTGCTTATTTTTTGTTTTAGATCAGCAGAAGGTCCGAAATCGTAACAGGCAACACAATTTTTATAAAACACTCTAACTAAAAATACAACAATTTTGATTATTTTTAGAGGATCTTAAATAATTGCACGTGGATATCGCAAGTTCGATGTTAGCGGTGTGTGGAATAAAATATAAATAAGAACTGTCGATCTATCTGGGAGATTCGAGGTGCTGAAAATGATTAATTTAGAGGGTGGCCACCTCGTCGACAGTCGGAGCCGCGGCGAGGTATCGAGAACCACTGTATGCGGTCTCCTGCGAAGGTGCTTGAGCCAAATAGTTACACCGTAGAATCCCCTTTTCCCTTTCTCTCTCCGGCCGTGACAACTGCATCGGCGGAGCAGTTAGAGTGGCGGAAAAGCTCGGGGAAAGGCGAGGGACAGGGTTCGGGTCTCGCAGCGACGGGGGTGTGTACCAATTATACAGACACAACTATTGTGCGGCTCTCATTAAACGACGCCAACAAATTCGATTACTTCTGCTTCCAAATTTTGTTGGCCCGGTAAATGCCAGCATCGGCACCTTCAACCCTTGCTACGGCCAACCGAACGCTGCGGGGGTGGCAAAGTACGAACATTTTCCACGGTTCGAACTCTACCCTCCATCTCCCACCGCCAACCCACCACCTTTCGCTTGTCTCCCACCAACCCCCGGGAGCGGAGAATTTATTTTACGACTAAACAGAAAATTAGTGAGCGTTTGGGTTTGCGGTGTTTAGGTCTTTTACACGGCCGCGGTTCGAACCGCGGTCGAATCGGCCTCCAGGGGTACGGGGGTGGAAGCAACCCCGCGTTCCAGGGATGTCTCTGCCTGGATCGAAATTAATTGAGTTTTGCAGGGTTGTCTTACGGAATTGAAATATTTTTTACGGAATTAATCGACGGTGAACAAGGGGGTGACTTCACCCAATCTTGTTCTGCCGTCCATTTTGGATACTTTGCCTACAATTGTTTTTGCACGAACGTAATTCGATCACGAATATAAAATATTTTCTTCACGACGTGTAATATTTTTATCGTTATTGTAATCATTCAAATTTAAATGAATTTGACGGATACATTATTTGTGAGGTACATTTTTTTTATGATTTAGTTTTTTTCTCTTTATTTAGGATGGACAATAAGGAATGAAATTTATTGGACGGTAACATGATCATACTAAAAAAAGATACGTGACACGAACTGCAAAAGCGCTGAGATTGTCTCTCCAAAAGAAACTGTTTTATCATTTTAAGTGAACTAGTCGCTAGATAAATTTAACTATTTGATATTACCATTTTGATATGCTTCCTAATAGAAAATAATGTAGAACGCTTAGTGCATTAAAATAAATGGTTTCAATCACCGAATTGCAATCGATAAGTTAAGAAATGCACATTCAAAATAATGTTCTGAATTTTATATGCATTTCAATTAAAAATAATTGCGTGGCTCACGATTGACGCGGCTGACCAGTGCGTTGAAGAATATAGAATCTTGTCTGGAGAGAAATGTATCTCTGCAGATTGCAAGACCGCGGCGCAACGATATACCGTGGACGACATTTTTCAAACATTTTTATGTGACGACGAGGCGGGATGGACTTAGGAAAGAAGACTCGCCCGTATCGTTAAGAGAAAACATTTAATTGGCGGCGTGGAACCGGAGCGCAAACGAACTCAGACGCCCGGGCCGAGGGTGATTTATTATTTAATCTTCTAGACGAGTGATTTTTATCTGGACGTCTGCCACGGTTCCCGAGGTCGAAAAGCTACCCCTGCCCGTTACCGTTTACCGACCTCGGGTCAGTAATGGTTATGCTTGTCATTATCGCCGTGTCGCACGAATCGTCTGGCCGCTCGCAGACCCCGGGACCACGACCAATGGACTGCAGCACTTGAACTCGTTACGCCGTGTGGTGCAATTCCGCGACCGTTTCGGCCCATTCTCGCTTAAACGTTGCAAAAGGGGTTGGAGGCTCGAATTTACCGCTACACGCGACACAGCGAAAAACTTTCTTGGACGATACGCATCGAAGGAATCGGCCACCCTCGCGCCACCCCCGAGATTCGGAGTCCGCAACTTCAATAGCCGGACAAGTCCTTAACCCTTTGTCCTGGAGGTTAAAGTACCATTGTCATGAAACTCTGCTGAGATTCTTTTCAAGATACCAGATGCTTTATCTAGCCATTGCGCACGTTCATTCGGACACCGTGGCAGTATTAATGAAATATTGCTTCGTGCGTGTTTTTGATTGAATAATTTCGTTTCAGATACTATTTATTCGATCTAGTGATATATTACATATTAGTGTGTGTGTGTTTTAAATATTGATAATAAAATTAGTAAAATTTGTACACGGTTAAATTGAATCTTGTAATATTTAGAAAGAGAAATACATTTTTATGCATTTACAGTATTCGATGATCGATATTGATGAGAATTTAATATATTTTCAAATTATTTTTCATTCGTGGAAGCCACTAGGATACAAAATGACTGGGATTTCCCTTCAATCTTTGAATACTGTAGCACATTTATATGTTTATCTAGAATATTTAATTCTAAATGTAATAAAGTTTGTTGAATGAAAACGTAAAAACAAGACTGAATGAATCGTAGGGTCTTTTATTGCTTCTGAGGTCCATAAATAAGAAAACAAAAACGTCTACAATAATGTCTAAATTGTTCTGCTATCGATTTAAGACTTTTAAAAATTGCGATAAAAAGATCAGCTCGACCACGCCATAAAAATGCAATATATCATATCTGAATAATTTACGATGGATAAATACGCTTATAAAGTTCACGAATTTCCTTATAATTCGATGGTAAAGAGATCTTTGTTCCCGTCGATGCAGCACCTCAAAATCGCGATCGAAGCTCGACGGTGACTTTTAGTAGCGATACGGAGATTTAATCGCGGGTGAATATTTATGGGGGTTGACGGTGTGTGTCTCAGCATTCGTTGGCATCAGGAAGGTACGGGGGCACACGTAGATCGCGGCGAGGCGGCAGCAAGCAGAAAAAGGCAGGACAATAAACGCACGAAGTCGGAAAATAAAACGGGTCGTATCGATCCTAGGCGAAGAGACAGCGGCACGGTCTTTCGTTCCGCTCGCCGTGAAAAGTTTAATGACTTTTTGTTAATTAACATCCCG